CGCGTCCGAATTGCGCAATGGGATCCATGATCAGGGGTCGTTCTTTACCCTTGGACTCATCTTCTTGAGGCCAGAAAGCTGGATGTGTCCAGAACTGCCCAAGGGCGGGGGCGCAGAGGGGTTGGGGCGAGAGCCAGAGGGAAACCTGAAGGAGAGACTATCTCTCTGGTCCTGCCCCCGATTAAGAGTAACCTCAGCGGGCAACCTTCATCTCCTCCTCTCTCTGCCAGACGCTGGATTCCACCGTTAACCCTCCCAGCACCCAAATGACTCTATGGAATCCCCATTATACAGCTAAGACATATGTGACTTGGAGAAATTAAACGACTCTCCCGAGGTCCCTTCTTAGGCAGCGGTGCCCGGCCCTGTCAGGTGTTTTAACCACAACCCCACTGGTGCTCGCGACTTGCTCTGGCCCGGGCCTTCTTTGGTCGCAGGGGCCGCAAGCCAGAGGCGCCAGGACGCGCGCCGCCAGTTCCGTCTTTCGCCCGGGGCTCTGCTGCGGGCTTCCCAGGGAAGGTCACTGGGAGGGCAGGACCGGGCCACCACCCGGCCCAGGTGGCACTCGAGGACTCCACCTAAGGCAACGTCGCCAGGGAGGAGTTAGACAGTCCCGAGAGTGTTCTTCCTCCCCTGCAGGACCGTCGTTCTCTTTCCCCGCGCGGGGCACTGGATCCCGACGATGTGAAGGGTTGTGATGCGACCTAGTTACAGGGCGGTGGTGGCCTGGGAGAGGGAGGGAGGGGTGAGGCGCCGAGCCTCTGGAGCCGCAGCCTGCAGGTCACCCTCGGGTCAGAAGGTGCGGTGGGAGGGGACGGGCCCAGGGGAATGGGAGGCGAGGTGCTGGCCCCCACTGAGAAGGAGAGAGGGCATCTGGGGGTCGGGCGGCCTAGAGCCTAGGTGGCTGTAGGTGCCAGTGTGCCCTGTGCAGGTGCAGTCTGGCAGGGTGGTGACATTCTAAGCGCCCAGATCCTGTATGCAAAACCTTTAGTACTTGCTTATCCGTGGGAGTGTAGCTAGGGATTCAGGAGCCATTCTCCTCTCCCATCGGCCTAACCCAGACGCTCCTTCCTTTGGCTGGAATGCAGTAACAGACGGTAGAAAATCCAGAGAAGCAGCAGAACGATGAGGAAAAGACTAGAATCAAAACTGCCATAAAAACTAACCAGGCTGGGAGTGAGATAAAGCAAATCCCATCTTCTAAGATTTTGCACCAGAATTTCACATTTTATTGGAAGTGTGAAGAACTCATAGCTCTCATTGCCCCCAGTATTTAGGAAAAATGTTCAAAAATGTCTCCCACATTAACATCTGATTCCTATCTAAATTGCAATCTCACCCTAATTGCGAATGTCACCTTCTTGTAATCTCTACAAAAATAGTTTAGTCTTAATGGCTGCTTTTTCATATCAGCACTAAAATTATTTAAATGGATTTTAAGTGTTTATTGATTCCACATACATCACTAAGTTAAACAACTTAAATAGATGATAGATAATACTACCAAAATTTGCCCCTCTTTCCCCCCAAAAAACAACACCCAGAAAATTAGATGGAGAAAAAAAAAAGGATTTGAGAACCCAATCCAACACGAGTTCCCTGTTGCTTAACTACCTTAATATAATCAGGTATATATGTTAAAATGAATGCATACAAAATAAATATGAATATAAACTTTATCTTCTTATTTGTTCTTAGAATGCAGGAATGTTTATTGCAGTCAGTCATTAAGAATATTGGGGGATAGTTATGATTTATTTAGCTAGTGAAGCAGTTTCTGTTCCCAAGTTCAAGCAGAGAAAAATGAGATTAAATTAAGCACAAGAGATTTTATTTTCTTCACATACTGTAATTTTGCTACCTATGGCTATGTCTATATTTAAAGTTAAATTTATGAACAATAGTTCTTCAGATTAAGGTGACTACTATTGTGTTATCCAAGGTAACTCTTGTATGAAAGATATTGTGCTACATTTCAAGCAGTATTTATTTTTTCCCTGAATTTTAAGCCTTTTTTAAAAAAATAAATAAATAATGGAAACTTCCAAACATACAAAGCTAGAGAGATTAGTATAATTAATCTCTATGTACCTGTCAGCTAGGCCAACCTGGTTTCATCTTTACTCTGACAGTCCTCTCCCCACTGGATTATTTTGAATCAAATCCCAGATAGTCTATCATTTTATGCACAGATATTTTTGAACATTTCTCCAAAAGACAAGAATTCCATCAATGTAACCACAACACTATCATCACAC